AAGAATTTTTACATGGAAATTGTAGATCTCGTCGTCCTCTACAAGAAAGATCTGATGCAATTTTCCCGTATCTCCAACGGTTGAAGAGTTATTGAAGAAAAACGAAATTTTTTGTCAAAAGTTCGCCATTTCGACGCTGAGATGGTCGGATTTTGTTAACATCAATGAAATGCCAAATAATCATATGTAACTTGTTAAAGATCGAAGTTAGAAGGAAAACAACTTTTATTTGAAGCATTTTTCGCAATTTTGAAAGAAATAATTTTCGTCAACGTCAATACTTAATTGGATATTTTCTTCTATACTTTTTAGCACGTAGCTATTTATTATTAGCATTATTCTTCCGAGGTCTGATTTCTTTTTAATTATAGGAAATGCGTTTTTCTAAGGTACATAAACTTTTGGGATTGATTATATAGCCAATACATCCTTAAACTGTTGTTAGATGTATTGATTCCCGTGAAGAACTGAGAATCGATAACTCGGATTACTCGAGGCTCGTCGATGCATGGCAAATATTTGTTGAATACGTGCAATATTGAATTTGGAGCAAGCGATGCAAGTACACATGTAGACGGTAATTTGAACGGAGTACGATAATTCCTCCTAATTGCGTACGACCTTTGTTTCACCAGGAATTCGCGATATGCTATTTATGATAGTCGAATTTGAAAGTACAATGTGCGCTCTTTGAACATGGCCCGGAACATGTTACAACGGAATTAGTTTGGGGACAATCGCGAGTTTTGAAAATCGATGCTTCGCTCGTATTAACGCGTAACGTGAATGTTCCGTACTTTCGCTATCGACAAACTTTACAAATTGGATCTACGGATCAATGTTGAAACTTCGCGTACTAATATTGAAACTTAATATTGTGGTAATAATTACGGAATTCGCACGGTCCGCCAGTGTTCGTGCTCGTTCTCTTTCATCCTTGGCATTTACTTAACTCCATTATAAATCGAGTCCCACTCGACTAATTATCCATAGAACGGTTCTCTAATGATCTCAGCCAGCCCGCTTGTTTCAAGAGCTCCGCAAATAATCATAATCGATATTCATCGTCGGAAACCGGCGATTGTTGTTCTAGTACCCAGTATATCCGTTCTATGTGCATCAATACCACTCCTTCGAATTCTCTCCGTAGAAGAGTCTCATCCACGAAAGTTGAAAGCAAACCGGTTATTCAGAAATTCTTATTATTTATATTCCTTAACGACGCTTCGTAATTTTCCACCGTCAGACGTATCTCTGTTTTTCTTCGCAAACAAATAGACCGTGCCGCGGTTAAGAGTCGGCCAGTTAACGTAAACGATGTTTAATAAGAAGTTTCTCTGTGAATAAATTTTCTCCGGTCGTTGATACAATTCGTAAAACATCCACGAGGAAACCGGAATTGTGGATATCGTCCCAGAGTCCTAGTCTATTGTATATTTGCGAATCAACCAGCTCGCAGCCGCCGATTTTGTTCGTCTCTAAGGTAAAGGCACAACGAATTTCCAATAACGTTTAAGGAAGAAGGCGACCGCTGCTCTTCTCAAAGAAACCGTTTACCTTCCTTTGTACAGCTGATTGAGATCATTAAACACGAGGCTGTGCGTCCTTCCGGAGAAAAGATTGGATCCCCATAGCAATAATCCATGCTTTAAATTCTTGTCAAACTTTCATCGCGGTAAAAG